CGGGAGAAAGTCTTCACTTTTTCTTCGCTTGTGTCATTTGCTTATTGCGCCGTAACCATGGATAATCTTCATTGTTTATCAGGATGCTTGGGTCAGCCTTGACATTGAAGGGAGGAATTTCATGAAACTTTTCATAATCTTCAGACATGTCTGTCTTGCCGTCCACTCCCAGGATGTCCCTTTTTCCTGAAAGAACTATGTGGCGCTTTGGCTCATCGTATGATGTATTCGCTTCCTTATCTTTTCTTTTTCTCGGTTTGGTAGACATGTCCTTCATATAGATAACTTGTGCCACATCATTGGCTAGGACGAACAGTTCGTCAGTGTACCCAAGATTTTTCAGATCCACTGTTGTCATTCCGTACTATGGGTCTACCTATACCCCTCTGCCTAACAGATTGACCCATTTGCACTTAAACAAAGGGACCTTAAAATCATGTCCGTAGTCAAGTTCCCATATGTCCACTATGTAACCATAATATGTGTGCTTTCCGCTCTCGGTTGCTGCATCAAAGCGGACACCGCTGTTTTGGTTGGTGCTCTTTTGATCTTGGGCGATCGTGTAAAATGTATTCCCATTTATCTCGTATCCTTTGTAAGTCAATATAGTCAAAGATGGTCCCCTTGACAACAAGTACAACTCATCACAAACAGTGTTGTCACCTCTGAGATGTGTTTCCAACCAACTGCTGAAAGTCCTGATGTGTTCACATGTAATCCAGTCGTCGCACTGCTCCAGATGTTTGGAGCGCAGACTGTTCTTGTGTTCATCGACATACGGGGTCACCAAGGTAGAGTTCTGTAGAACTGTGTAGTGTGCTTGAGACCAAGAATATCCGTCCCTGCATATTATTGAGTCTCTTCCAAGAGTGCCTTTTCCAGTCAGTCTCCCCTCATACCGCGATTTAGGGAGACCTATCTTGTTAAGGCCAGGAATGAAGTCAACACAAAACTTGATAACATCCTCTGTTTGATGGCCCATGGAGATGCTTCCTTCTGGCCTAGCACGGTTACGGACATATTTTTTTAAGACTCCCATGAACCTCTCAAAGGGGAACATATTGTGTAGAAATACGGGCCCCAGGATGACAATCTCGTCGACTAGATGAACTAGGACGTGCGTCATGATATTGAAGAAGGATGGTGGGAACACCAGCTCGAAACTGACAAGACATTGCGCCACATCACTCCTTAGCCTTGGTACGATTTCTGGATCGATCACCTTCTGAGAGATTGCATTGAGGAATGCACATAGCTTCACAATGGCTAATCGGACGTTTTCCGGTAGAAGCCCCCTCAATGCAACCGGAAGCAGTTGCGTCATAATCACGTGGCAGTCATGAGACTTTAGGTTCTGAAACTTTTTCTCTGGCATATTTATTATTCCCTTTATATTCGACGAGAAGCCAGTCGTGACCTTCATACTGAGCAGGCATTCAAAGAAGATTTCTTTCTCTTCTTTCGTAAGAGCGTAGCTGGCAGGACCTTTATACTGCTTCGGAGGCATGCCATCTTTTTCATGCAAACGTTGCAGGTCCTCTCGTGCCTCAGGTGTATCTTTTGTCTTCCCATACACGCCCAAGAAGCCTAGCAGGTTCACGCAAAGGTTCTTCGTCACGTGCATCACGTCGATTGAGGAGCGGACCTCTAGGTCTTTCCAGTAGGGTAGGTCCCAAAATATAGATTTCTTCTTCCACATAGGTGCGTGTCCCTCAGCGTCATTCGGAATAGCTAGTCCACGGGGACCCTTTCCAAAGATTATGTAGTGTAAATCATTTACCATAGCAAGCACGTGATCACCGGTGCGCATGGTGGGCTTCTTCCGGTGATCTGCCTCGCCTTTGAAATACTTGCCTTTCTTTCGACATTGATGGTTGGTCGGAAGAAATCGACGATGGCCCAGGTACACATTCTTCCTGCATTTGTCCAGGTATATACTTTCAGTGTCATCTAAACAGTGCGTGCATGCGTGGTATCCTTTGTTTGTCTGTCCTGAAAGGTTACTGAGAGCGGGCCAATCGTTGATGGTCACGAACAGCAACGCCTTAAGGTTAAATTCCTCCTGTCTGTGCTCATCCCACATACGTACACCATTTTCATTCCACAGCTGTAAAAGTTCTTCAACTAATGGCCTTAGGTACACATCAATTTTGTTGTCGGGTTGCTTAGGGCCTTCGATGAGAACTGGCATCATAATGAACTTCCGCTTCATGCACATCCAAGGAGGAAGGTTATACATACATAGAGTCACGGGCCAGGTGATGTGATTGCTGTTCTGCTCCTCGAAAGGATTAATGCCATCCGCGCTTAAAGCAAACCATACATTTCTTGGGTCCTTTGCAAACTCATCCCAGTACTTTCTCTCGATTTTTCTCCACTGCGACCCGTCAGCGGGTGCTTTCAACTTCCCATCTTTCTTTCGGTTCTCACTGTGCCATCGCATCAACTTGGCATGCTCTTCGTTTCTGAACAGACGTTTCAACCGTGGTATTATAAGAGCATACCACATCACCTTCGCAGGAACCCTCTTCCTGAGGGGCTCGCCGTCAACATCACCAGGGTCATCTCGTCTGATCTTATACCGCAACGCACCGCATACCGGGCATGCGTTCAGATCCTTGTATGCACCGCGGTAGAGGATGCAGTCATTAGGGCATGCATGTATCTTCTCCACCTCCAATCCTAGAGGGCATACGACCTTCTTTGCTGCGTATGTACTGTCGGGCAATTCGTTATCCTTTGGAAGCTTCTTCTTCAATATTTTCAGTAGCTTCTCAAATCCTTTGTCAGCCACATCATTCTCTGCCTTCCACTGCAGCAATTCCAGTACGGTACCGAGCTTTGTGTTGCCATCTTCGCAATTGGGGTATAACCCTTTTTTGTGATCCTCTAACATGCGATCGAACTTCAGCTTCTCCTTTTGACTAATGCATTGCGTCCTTGCATCGACAATGACCCGGCGGAGATCATCATCATCGGGCACATCGTCTGGTTCCTCTTGATCTTCAGCAGCTTCACCCATGGCAGCATCATTGGGCACATCGTCTGGTTCCTCTTGATCTTCACCAGCTCCCCCCGTTGCAGCATCACCGTATTCAGGGGGCACATAGTTGTCATCGTACTCTTCTTCTTCGCCGTCTTCCATCATAACCCCTATTTCTCCGTGCCTCGTCCAAACATTATAGTGTGGCATGAAACCCTTGTAAAGCAGGTGGGAGTGAAGGATTTTCCGGTTAGAGTAAGACCTCGTATTCCCACATTCAGTGCATGGACAACACATAAAACCATTCTGCTTGTTTGCCTCAGCCGCATCGAGAAACTCATGCACGCCCTTAATGTACTCGCGGGTGTGTCTGTCACCGTACATCCATTGTCGGTTCATCTGCGTGCATTATATATAATTAAGTGTCCAAATTAATAGAAGTTCATCATCATCGAGAGGAGAAAGCTTAAGTAGTGTGGCTCGGGCATTCCATCGAACATCTCATGTGCATAGGAGGTGAGCTAGAGCACCACAAAGCCCTCTCCCCCTCGGCCAGAAAAAACAGAGCACTATGCTCTGCTCTTGCGCGAGGGGGTATATATAGGCACCTCATTGGTCCCGGTTGATGACATGAACCGGGACTAAAGGGAAGCCTTTGGTCCTGGTTCAAGCCACCAACCGGGACCAATAGTGATGGGCCAGGAGCGAGGCCCATTGGTCCCGGTTCATCCCACCAACCGGGACAAAAGGTCCAGACAAACCGGGACCAATGGCCCACGTGGCCCGGCCGGCCCCCTGGGCTCACGAACTGGGACCAATGCCCACATTGGTCCCGGTTCTAGACTGAACCGGGACTAATGGGCTGAGCCGGCCTGGATCATAGCCCTGTTTTCTACTAGTGACAATCTGAATACGGTGTTAGTTTACCTATTTAATATTTTTAAATTCTATTTATGATGTAGTTTTAGTCAATAGTGCACCATCCGCTTTTTTCCGTATCAAGGCCGATACGTGTTGCAAATGAGCACCTCATCAAAATCCAATTAAAGACAAAAGAAATCATCAATAACCACGCATGCATGCCTCGACGAAACATAGCAGGGAAAAAAGAAAGTTGATGTTGATGAGGTGTGATTATTAGGGTCTAGAGTCATGATTATTTTACCTATTTAATATTTTTAAAATTCTATTTATGATGTAGTCTTAGTCAATAGTGCACCATCCGTCTTTTTCTATATCGAGGCCAATACATGTTGCAAATGAACACCTCATCAAAATCCAAGTAAAGACAAAAGAAATCATCAATAACCACACATGCATGCCTCGACAAAACATCATAGGGAAAAAAATTATGTTGATGAGGTGTGATTATTATGTTCTTGAGTCATGATTATTGGGTAAGGGGTGTTCCGTATTGATTTCTCCCGTTACAACATACAGACTTTTATGCTAATTAAAATATAATATTATAAATGCCGTCTATTAACTTGGCCATACATAACATGAAAACTCTTTATAGCCGATTGTTGTCTCCCATGCTTTTAGGGTGGCCGGAGACTTAACTACTCTGTCCGTCCGGAAATATTTGTCCTCAAAATGGATATAAATAGATGTTGTCGTTAAAATGGATATAAATAGATGTATTTAGAATTAAAATACATGTAGATATATTTATTTATTGGGCAAATATTTTCGGACAAAGGAAGTAGTTGAGTAGTAGGTGCGGTCATCTCTCACGGAGGGTTTGTGGGTGGAAGTGGTTTGGCTCTACTTGGTGTGCCTGTGTGGCCACTGCAGCAACCTGGTGAGCACACCACAATCAGAGCCATAGTCACCAAACCACAAGTTTGGAGGAGCGAGCGGATCACCGGCGAGCGTAGGCATGGAAGTGGCGGTGGCGGTGGTGAGCGCTGTGACGAAAAGCGTGGTGTCGAAGCTGCTCACAGTCATAGAGAAGAGGTACAAGGAGTTGAAGGACCTGGAGGGCGACATCGGTTTCCTGCATTGAGAGCTCGCCATGATCTGCGGATCCATGGAGGTTCAGATCTCGCACAAGGGGCAGCCCAGTGCGGTGGAGATCCTATCCATGGAGGAGTTCCGCGCTCTGGCACATAACATCGAGGACTGCCTGGACCGGTTCCTTCCCTGCGCCGCGTGCGAGGGGGAGCTCCAGATCCGCGATCCAAGAAAGTTCTGCCATGAGATCGCGAGACTCAAGCGGGCGCTGGATGCGGCGCATGAGCGAAAGGTCAGATACAATGCAGACTTTGGCTCCTCCGCAGCCGAATCGAACCTGGACGACAACCCCGTTGACCCAGAGAATCCGGGCGCCTACGGGGCTTCTCCTGCGGTGGGCATCGAGGAAGCAAAGCAGGAGCTTTGCAAGTCCTTAGTTGATGGCGGCGGCGGCGGCGGTGGCCAAGCTAGCCGCAGGAAGCTGAAGGTGGTCTCCGTCGTCGGATTTGGGGGCTCCGGCAAAACGGCACTGGCATGGGAAGTGTACAACTGCCCTCAAGTCGCCGAGCAATTCTGTTGCCGTGCCTGGGTGACTCTGGCGTCCAAGCACAAACACGATGTCGCTGCCAAGGAGGCGCTCTTGAGGGCCATACTTGAGGGGCTTCTCGGAGAAGAAGCACAGGAGTCCGTGCCACTGAAACTCCGACAGCTCCAGCAGCATGTCAGTGTTCTTCTCCGGACAAAGAGGTGAGTGCCGATCCGAATGTTCCCAGCTATGGTATTTGTATCTGTCAATTATACTCCCTCTGTCCCAAATTACTTGTCTTAGATTTGTCTAGATACGCATGTATCCGTCAATTATGCATTTGTAGTTTTCATACTGTGCCAGTAATTTGAGTATCATCAGTATTGCTGATATTTCCCCATCAGTATTGCTGATATTTCCCCATCAGTTTAGCCAAATCTTATACATTTAAGAATCTTTTGGCTATGGTATCATAAGTTGAATGCATCAACTATCCGCCTCAAATCAAAAACCAATGCATCAGCTAGTTAAAAGTAGTTTCATGAACTAATCAGTACGCCTAAAAATGTATAGTACATTAGCTCAACTCTAACATTCAGTTTGTATCTTGCTCCTGATTAGGCATGCACAGTACCTATTGTTTTGCAAGTGTACAAGTATCAGTTTTTCACTGGCAAAATGACTATCTAATATCAAACGCATCAATCGTAGTGATTGACGCTGTCATTGGGCTATTTCTGGCGGCATTGGTCGCAAATGAGTTTCCCTGGAAATTAACTTCGAAATAACCTGCAAAGGGATTTACTAAAAATAGACAACTCTTAACATTTGTAGAGTTTTTTTTTTGCCGCGCCAAGTCCCCCGTGCCGCTCCCGCGAGCGGCCTGGGCGGAACCCTAGATCGCCGCCGCCGCTCCCTTCCTTCGCCGTCCTTCTCCCTCGCCGTCGCCAGGGGACGCCGCCGGGCAAAGCCCGCGCGTGCGTCGGCGGCGGCGGGGCTTCCTCCCTCCTCGTGAGGCTCCTGGGCGGTGCGGGACGGCCGGCCCTCGCGGTGGCGCTCGGCTCGGCGGCAGGTCGGGTGGCCGGCGGATCTGCGGGGCTCCCCTTTGGTGGCGCTGCGGCGATGGCGGCGGCGTGGTCTGCGCGGGGCGGCGAGGCGCGGGCTCCTCCTCCTCCCGATCTGATGGCGTCGCGGTGGCGCCGGCGCTCGGGCGTGCGGCGGGGTCCGCGAGGGTGGTCGGCGCGCGACGTCTCCCTCCCCGATCTGATGGCTCCACGGTGGCGCCAGTGCTCGGGCGGAGGTTGGCGTCGGCAAGCGGTGGCGGGCTGGGACCTCGGCGGCGCTCCGGCGTGTGCAGGTGGCGGCGGTCCCTGTGCGCGGTCGGCGGCTCCGTCTCTGACCCGGACGGCGCGGGGGATGGCGGCGGCCCTGCGTGGCCGGCGATCTGGATGCGGTGGTGCCGGTGGCTCGTTGATCTGCCGGTACTTCAGGGTCTGCCTGGTGGTGCTGGTGGTGACGGTGGCCCGTGCACGAGAGTTGGATTCCTTCGAACTGATCTGGGTGAAAACTTGCCTTCGGCTTCTGCTAAGGCCGGCGATGGCGGCGCTATCTGCGTCGTTCCCTTCTTGAAGGCATCGCCGTGGAGAAGTTCAAGGCCACTCTCTGCTACCTCCGGGGGAAACCCTAGATCGGATGATCGGATGACGGCGGCGCTCTGGTGTCGTTCCTCCCTTGGGGGCGTCATTTTTGGAGGTACACACGTGATCGAGGGACCAGAGGACGGATTCTTTGGTGGAGCGGTGCTTCATCCTACACACTGATGGCGACGGATCTTGACGGCGTGGCGCAGTGCAGATTCGGAGTTCGCTGTGGGAGGATGGACTCGCGCAGGAGGACGACGCTGTCGGGCGTCGTGGTGGCGTCGATGGCAGAGAGACCTGGCACGGTACACACAACAGTATAGCTCTGAAGATGGATTTGTGGCAGGTGGCTGCGGCGGCCTCATAGGTTGAGGAGTGCGCCGGACTGATAGGTGCCCCATACCCGGCAGGCGTCCTGGTTGGGACCTCAGGTCTTAGATGTTTAGGTTTGGCTGCGATGTCTATTTGGTATTAGGCCCAGACTGATAGGTGTAGCGACAATTGTTGCTTAGACGGTGGCTTTAGTCTTGCTGTTGTATGGCTTTGTAAGGTTTTGTGTTAATAATTAATAAAGTGGCCGTATGCATCGCTCAGATGCAGAGGCCGGGGGTCATCCTCCTTTTCTAAAAAAAAAACATTTGTAGAGTTTTCAATTGGTTGTACTACAACTAATAAATTGTAAAAGCTAAAAAAAGTACGGTAAGTACGAATTTTCCTGCAAATATGAGACCTACTTAGCCAATCAAGTTTTTGGTTCATTTTTTCCAGTAGAGTGCTTGCATAACAAAGATACTTGTCCTCTCAAGAATTCAGTAGGCGTAGTCACCAATAGGCAGCCATGCTTGAACGGCTCTATTGTTCTCCTGTTACCCTCATGTTGAGTAGTTGGCTTGGTAATTTGGACCAAAACAGGGGACTTTTTAGACCAAAACAGGGGACTTTTTAAACCAAAACAGGGGACTTGCTTAACTACAAAGCCAATTCCAAATGACCGGCATATTAACTTTGCATTTTTCCATTTTGCTAACAGGTGTTTAATTGTAATTGATAACATCAAGATGGAGATCTGGGACGCAATAAAACCCATCTTCCCAAATGAAACAGAGAGCAGAATACTAGTGACCACGACTGTGACTTCAGTAGCTAATGCCTGCAGCTTGCCTGATGGTTATGTTTACAGTATGAGATCTCTTAGTGCGGAACAGTCCAAGGCTTATCTAGACAAGAAGGTTTTTGTCAATGGATGCTCACCTGACTTGGAGAGGGGTTCAACTGCAATCGTGAACAGATGTGATGGTCACCCACTCGCTCTTGTTAGTGTTGCCAAAGCTTTGCAAGGTCACAAGTTGACAGGGGATCTCTGCGAAGAAATGACCCGCAACCTATGTTCTCGCATGGACGAGAACAAGAATGGTCACTTCACAAAACTAGGGCAAGTTATTATGAATAATTACAGCAGTCTGCCTGGCAATTCTCTCAAGACCTGCTTACTATACTCAAGTGCATTCCCAAATGATCGCCCAGTCAGCAGGAAAACTCTTACTAGCCGATGGTTAGCTGAAGGATACATTGATGGTGACCAAGAGATTGCCAATAAGAAATTGGATGAGCTAATCGACAGGAATATCATTCGTCCTGTCGATCCAAGCAACAACGGGAAAGCCAAGACGTGCAAACCTCACGGTATCATGCACCAGTTCATGCTACACAAGTCCATGGCTTCGAATTTCATTGATACATCTTTTGGCGCTAAGAACCGAAGTAACTTCCGTCACCTCATTATTGAGAACGCTACAAATGGCACAGCAGGCAACAAGGGAGATGGTACCGGTCCAGCTGGCCATGACCGCCTGCACAACATCTTTTCGTCTTTCAAAAAAAAGGTTGATAATTTGTTTTCGGGATCAGCCAGCAAGCAGCTGCGCCCCAGATCTCTAACAGTCTTTGGGAGTGTAGAAGAAGCTGTTCCAGACTTGACGAGTTTTGAGCTGCTGAGGGTGTTGGATCTAAAAGAATGTAGTGTTTTGAATGAAGAACATCTGGGGCAGATATACAAGCTGCTGCATCTCAAATATCTGACACTGGGGAGCTCTGTTAGCAATCTTTCAGTTCAAATGGAAAGGCTTCATTGTTTAGAGACACTTGACTTGAGGAAGACAAAGATAGAGACACTGCCTATGGAAGTTATTACTCTGCCCCATCTTGCACACCTTTATGGAAAGATTAAGCTAAAAAAGATTAGTGGCAAGAACCTTAAGGGATTCCTGCAAGGAAAAACTAATTTGCAGACTCTGGCAGGAGTTGTTGTAGACATCAACTCTGGATTCCCGGAACTGATGGTTCATATGAAAAAACTGACAAAGGTCAAGATATGGTGTGAGATCCCTAGCACAGATAGCAATTACGCCGTACTTTCAGAGGCCATTCACAAGTTTGCTCAGGCTGGTATGGCTACTCCAGTAGGCGCCCGTTCCCTATCACTTCATTTGAATGATTTTTCCAAAGGTTTGCTTCATCACCATCAAGGTGACAGCACAATTGCAACATCAAGAAAGCGTGGTTATCTTAGCTCACTGAAACTGCAAGGCAGCCTGAATCAGTTACCTCAGTTTGTTACGGGCCTGCGTGGTCTGAAGGAGCTGTGCCTTACATATACTAATCTGAAGGGGTCTGAACTTCTAGCAGGTCTGGGCAACCTAAAGCTCTTGGTTTGTCTCAAACTGGTTGAAGTCGATCTCGCCGATTTAAATATAGACATTGGGGATTTCCCAAGCCTGCAACGGCTTTGCCTTGTGGTCGAAAAACCCAGATTCCCTATAATTGAGCATGGAGCTTTGCCGCGTCTTGTTTCACTCCAGTTTCTCTGTAAAGATCTAGTGGGTCTTTCTGATGACCTAAAAGTGGAATCATTTGAAGCTCTTGAGGAAGTCGCTCTGGATTCTATGCTCAATCAACAAACCATACAGCTCTGGGAAAATGAATTGAAGAAGCACCCCAAGAGGCCAAGGGTTATCTTGCTCGAAAAGGTGGTTGATCCAACCAAAACTATGTCGGGGAAATATGTTGCCTCCCGCAAAGTCTACAACAGTTGTTACACCGACACTCCGCAAACGAGGTTGCAGAGGTCTTGTCAAGTCACAGCTCCCCGCGAGCAATCTCCAACACCTCACTCTCTGTTTGATCAAGTTCAAGTTTGCAGTGGACCAGGTTTGCACCTTTCTCATATTGTTGCCGGTCGTTGTTTAGTTCTCACTAACGTTATTCATGTTCTGCATGACTGAAGAATATCGTATTTCTAATTTCTGAATTCCATCTTTGTTATTTTATCAAGGGCCTCAGATGTCGAAGATACATAATTTACCACATTAGATGTGAAACTGGACTCTCTCCATATATACATTCATCTGTGTCGTTGAGCAGCCCAACATGAGGGTACAATTAGTAAGGTTCGACATAAGAAGGAGGTGCGGCGCAGGCGCCCTGGACACCCCTCTTCTCAGGCTGTCCAGTCAATTCAGTTTGTGAATAAATCTCCACCATGCAGCTTGACAGATGCTTCTGTCGGGGTTGTGCACACCAACTGGCCAACCACTTTGCTTGCCCCATTTCTACTCATGTATTATAATGTCTCCTAAGGCTGCGTTTGGATTATCATGTTTCCTTCGGATACACCTGTAAAATATACACGCCACTGCACGTTCGTCGTTTTGTGCCGGAAATCACTCTAATCCGGTAAGATACACTTGTAAAACTGACACAACTGTATTATATTAGATTACACTCCATCCAAGGGCGGCCTAAAGAATTTGTATTCTGCACCCGAGTCTGTCGGAGGATAAATGTATTGTATCAATTTTATTGATCTTTCTAGTAAATTTACTTGGATATATTCGTTTGATGCGAAACCTGATGTCGGAAGTGCTTTTATTAATTCAAAAAATGCATTGCACAACTTGCAGGCAGAAGAACTACGTAGATGCGTACAGTCAGACTAGGGGAAGTGCGGGTACTTGTGTAAAATCAATATTATGGTTTGACACACAGGGTTTCACATCACACATCATGTGAATGGCTCCTAAATCTTATGACAAATCGTTGTCACGCAGACTAAATGAAGGTTTGATTACAGGGGATGCATGTAATGACGGTAGGACTGGCCACCGCGACCGCAGGCGTACGCTGACCACCTGCGCCGGCGGTGCCGGCCAACCTACAGGTTAGCCGGCTCCAACTTGACCAGGGCAGCGTACATCCTCTGTTCAGAGTTTGAAGGCAGAGTACATCCTCTGTTTTCTGGTACATCTCCATTCCTGGTTTCAAAGCATATTTCCCGCAAAGTGCTTTTTTTTAACAACAAAGGATGACCCGCGCGAGTGCTGACAGCTGAAACCAATCCACCACGCGCGAGCTAGTCAATCTGTAAGCATTGATAGGTCCCACTGCAAGCAAGGAGGCACCCTGTTCATCCCTCTTCTCAGGTCGTCCTGCCAGTTTAGTTTTTGAATAAACTCCAAACATGTAGCATGCCAACTGGTGAAGGACTTGCTCTCCCCGTATATACTCATGTACCTTTTTTTTTTAGGCTAATATACTCATGTATCAAAGTCACCTATAAAATTTGTATTTAAGAGTCCTGCACCCGAGTCCGTTGGATGATAAATGTATGTATTGTATCAGTTTGATTAATGATGCCGACGACAAATTCACTTGCATCTATTCGTTTCATGCGAAATTTGAGGTCAGGAATGCTTTTATTCAGTTTCAAAAAACTGCATTGCAAAACTTGTAGGCAAAAGAAGTACTGTAGATGTGTACAGTCAGACTAGGAGAAGGAGACCTGCGTAAATCCAAAATTGTGGGTATCTTTATCATGTGAATGGCTCCTGAAGCTCATACATGCAGCTGGTGACAAATCGTTGTCACGCAGACTAAATGAAGGTTTGTTTACGGGGGAAGCCAATGTGGTCCACTCTAGCATAGCATATTAGAGACTAGGAAATTAAGGAGGTTCGACTAGAGGGGCTGCCAATGTGATCCCCTCTAGCATATACTCTCTCCGTTTGAAAAAGTTTGTCTCAAGTTTGTCCCTAGATGCTAGGTACTACATTCATTTGAGGAAGTAGTGCTAGGTATATCTATTTGAGGGATAAACTTTTTCGGACAGGGGGAGCAGCATCTTAAAGGACTACATCTGAGCCTAGGAAATTAAGGTGGTTCAGTAATCAGTAGTCGGTATCCAGTGTGCATTTTGCATATTTAAAACTAACAGCAACAAACTAAGAATTCGTCTGTGCTATTTGGACAAACCAGCAGATGAGGATACATCCAGCGACACTTGAGGCTTCCAAGGGACGTTCATGGAGGAAGATTGCTCGCTTGTTTAGCCAAAAAGGTGTGGTTAGAGAAGGGGCGAGGCAGCTCGTGCTGGTGGGAAGCGAAACACACCTCTCGCTCCATCGGGATGGCTTAGCTCGCCCGCCAGGAACCGGTGTACTGGAAGGGGCGGAGGCGGCTGGTGGAGGGGGAGCGACGCGTCGGGTGGGAGAAGCATATCACTCGTGCCACCGCGACGGCAGCCCCCCTGCGCCGCCGCCGGCGGCCAACGCGTCTGGTGCGGGGAGGGCTACAGAAGCAGGCCGGGCTAGCAGGCTGCGACTTGACCGGGTGGGGGCAGAATGGTCACAAGTCTGTTCAAACCGGACCGTGTACTTCCTCTGTTCCAAGTTTGAAGGCAGAGTACATCCTCCGTTCCCTGGTACTCCCTCCGCTTTAGTAAGCATTTTTTCAAGACATATTTCGTCAAGCTTTATTCAACCGTCACAATGTTTACAGAGAATGAACAAAAGATCACTAGGTTGGCCTAACCAGACATGGTGACCAACGCCTGGTTGTAGAGCATGCTCCACTGAATTGCGAGTCTCGAAATTCAAACTCCTAAATTCACGAATAAAATTTAATAAATCAAAAACTCTAAAGTATTCTATGATTTCATGTATGATAGCTTCATACATAGCCACGCTATGTTGCGTAATATCATCAACCATCACCTTGCAGTCAGAAGCGACGAGGATCCTCTGCAACAACCATTGATTCCTTGACCGTCAAAACTTCTACAGTTGCAGGGTCCGAGATGACCCTGAGTACAATGACCGAAGCTCCAAAAAAAAAAAAAAAGCACCCCTGGATCAGGACTCACCGCAGCCACCGCTCCACTCCAGAGGTCCCTGCTATGGCTGCATTAATATTGAGTTTAGTGAGATTATGGTTTCCATTGCCTCAGCCTTGGGGCTACCACACGCACTGTTGGCCTCTTAGGCTTGTCAAAGATTTGAAGATCGCTCAAAAATGAC